TTGTCTGAAAAACCACTATTTTGTGCGCAAACTAAGGTCATACCATTGACCAAAACGGCTCCCAATTTTATGGATTTTGGCCGGAGAAAACTTTAAAAATTTGAAAAACGGGTTCCGAAGGCTGGTCACAGCTATAAAGCCACCTCTCATTTTCAATCAGTACTACATTTTTTGGATCTCAAATTTTTTGTACATATACAACATCAAAATATGAAACATTTTTACACTTCAAAGGAGTCGCCTTTCAAAAAGAAGATTCGTACTGCATTTTTTGCTCTAAATTACAAAATAACTCACATTATTTGCAAAAAACTGCTTTTTCATTAAATTTTGAAGCACTTGTTTGACTCGGATGAACGTCCTAGGATTTGCTTAGCCTTTGCAATGAGCGAGGTGAAAAGTGCTGAACTCAACATTGCGTAGTCGCTAATCTTGGTAAACGAGCCTCATCTTACCGAGGTGTAAGCACGCTTCTGAGGCGCAAAACTAGATTTCTGACACGCGAAAACTTTTGGTTGGAAGTTGACACCTTGTCTGCATGGCGACGTACTCATGCAGAAGCCGTCAGGTTTTTTTACAAAGACTTATTTGCCGCAATGAAGTTAGAACGCTTTGTCTACAGTTCGGTTGTGCGCAGTGTATCTCACAAGACTTCAAATTTCACTGCTTTGAACTCCTCATCAATTCAAATTCTACTAAACTTTCAGGAATAGAAGGATTTTGAACTTCTGAGCGGTTTTCCGCTCGATCGAGGGGCTAGAGTGGATCATGATCAGACGTAGTGCACCACTCATTTTTGGAAAAAAAGCGTTCAAAGCGGAACCAGAGTCCTCAGAGTTGTGTTGACGTACAGGCTATGCACACGTGTCTGTCGTTATACAAGCGGCGTGTTGAGCACGCGACAGAGCTTTTCGGGCATTAAAACTCAATTTCTGCCGTTCGAAAACTCGTCTACCTGAAGGTGAGGTTGGGGCTCGTTTATCAATATCAGCGACTACGCAATGTTAACTCAAGCGCTTTCCGCCATATTCATTGCAAAGGCTCGGCAAAGCATAGGGCCTTCATCCGAGTCAAACAAGTGCTTCAAAATTCAGTGAAAAAGCAGTTTTTTGCAAATGATGTGACCTATCATGCATTTTAGAGCAAAAAATGCAGTACGAATCTTCTTTTTGAAAGGCGACCCCTTCCAAGTGTAACAAATGTTTTACGTTTTGATGTTCTATATGTACAAAAAATTTGAGGCTCAAAAAACGCAGTACTGATTGAAAATGAGAGGTGGCTTTATAGCTGTGACCAGCCTTCGAAACGTTTTTTCAAATTTTCAATTTTTCTCCGGCCAAAATCCATAAAAACAGGAGCCGTTCTGGTCAATGGTATGAGTTTGTTTTGCGTTAGTTTGCGCACAGAATAGTGGTTTTTCAAACAAATATGAGCAAGAGAGAGCAAATTACGGTGATTTTTAGGGTGGCTTTATAGCTATGGCCAGCACTGTAGAATTTAAAAACGCGTGATTATTACAAAATTCACCAACGCTTCTATCTCTCTTGGAAGACAGTCTGCAGCTACCCTTGAACGCACGATAACCTACAAGGATAATACTATCGAACAGTGCTTACTGAAATCTTATATGTTACACAGATGCTGCGTTACATCCTTGCGAAAGGAGCTCCCCAGAAAAAATTGAAAAAACTGGAAACGGATTATCGAGGGCAAGCTGTACAACAAAAGATTTGCCTTGACGATCTCAACACAATGCTGCTTCCGGATTTAAAATGCATTCATTTCGAAGGAAGTTATGGCGTTGCGTATTCTGCGTGATTCCCGTGATTCCGCGGATCCTGAAATGTCACGATCGTCCCGAATTATCGCGGACTCTGGCGGAAATCTTGGAATTTCGGAAAGTTCACGGAAGTTTTGGCATTATTGAGCGGTACCATACTCCTGTGGTATACGTTTTATGTGTCATCAGTAATAAATCAATGACAATACTGTTATCAGCACACTGAACAATTTAAACAAACAAAAATGTGCACAATTGAGCGAAAACTTACTGTCTAGCGTATACCTGTCATATCCTGCTAGATTGCTAGATTCTATATAAAAGATGATGCGCCTCGCCGAGCTGAATCGAACGGTGTCCTCGGATTCAGAATTCGTCCATTCTGAAGCGAGATATGGCGATGCGACGCGGATTCCGATGGACTCCAGTGATGTGCGGCGTACTCCGCTGCTCTCCGGCGGACTCTAGTGGAGTGTGGCGCACTCTGCCGCACTCCGGCGCATTGCAGCGCACTCCGGCGGACTGTAGTGCAGTGGGGCGCACTCCGCTGCACTCTAGTAGACTGCGTCGCACTCCGCCGGACTGCAGCGCACTCCTTTTTTGACGAATTATGAGCGGTATTGTGCATCCCATCCAAGAAGGCCACTTTGATCAAACATATTAGTCTAGCTGAAAAGTGTTTGTAATGTATTAGGTTGGCGGATAATTTCTGTTACACTTTTGATTTTATTTTTTAAAAATTCAAGAAACTTTCAAAAATTCTTATGCTTTGGAAGTGTTGGCGGGGTGCAAAGGTCTACCCGCCGGTACTGTCAGATCCGCGGTTCGTGCGCAAAACACCGACTTCATTGGCGGGAGTACAATTTCTGGACATTTTTGTCAGTGGGCTGGCATTGTTCCAGGTGATTGGGAAGAGAACGGGCGATGTGGTATTTGGGCAGGGTATGGCCCATAGTTTTTAGCGAACATAGGGGGATGGCACAATCATGTCAGCGCACACTGGCATTTTGACATGAAGAACAATCTTTGAAAATTTACAAAAATTATTTACAACTGCTCCGTATCAGATCCTACACGATGCGCACAAAAAGAAATATTTTCGACTTATTTTTGATTTTTTTGAGTTGTTTTTCACCCCTTGTTTTTGGCGTGCTAGCGGCGCCAAAGTGCTACCATAAAAGAGATAATGCGAGAATATGTTCTTAAAAAATTACGGGAGAGAAAAGACACAGTTAGACAGAGAAAAAAATCGAAGAAAAAGTGACAATTTTGAATGTGCTTATAAAGTTGTCGTAAAATCGCTGGCTATTGTGCATTTACGGCATCAGTCATACTGTTGTGTACGCCCTGCCGTGGCCTACATATGGAGCAATTTTGAAGATTCCAGAGAACTTCTGAAACTTTTCAGAATTTTACGAAAAAAGTGTAGCAGAAATTATCCGCCAACCTAATACTATTCGAAACTGGTGCACCTGATACTGCATTGATAAGCCCTGTAGCATTTGGGCTCACTTTTGGCATCTGGTTGAGATGTTTACACTCTATTCATACGTACACAATCTACCTCGAAATATCCTCATTCTCAGGAAATGTTATCTAGCCTGAGAATCTGCATCATAACACTTCTCAAACATTCTGCCTCTTTCATATGAAAATGATAAATTTCTGAAGAATCAATAAATTATCAAAAAGAGCTTAGAAAACACTTTCGAGTCGTATGTCATATGCTGCCTAGGGACTTGGGGCAGCAGCACATGGCGAAAAACTTTGTCTGACTTTTCCAAAGCACCTTTCGAAGGATTGTAGCTCAGGAGTGCAAGTTGCTGTCAGGATCATACACAAAGACTATTCACGCAAAATTTTCTTTACTGCTGGTTGCTCATCGTTTGAAAAAAACTTTGAAATTACAAAAAGTTGAGATTTCATATAATTTTGAGTCTCTCTAATAGTTTTGATGTCGCACTTCATTCTGATGAAAGAAAATGGGACGCTTTTCTTGTTTGCTCACCCTTTGCGTGACTCTTCTTTGGTTCGTCATTTGATCTACGAATGATTTCTTGTGTGCTTGCTTACAGTTGCTCGGGTTTTTGGCTTACTTCAGGCTTTTTTCTTCCCCTTGTTAAGCCGTTATTCAATCAGAATCTTTACCAAAAAGAGGAGGAGGCAGCAACATTTTCTTTTGACAAAGTGACTTCATATAATTTTCCAGGGATCAAACAGATGCTGCATTCAGACGGCAAAATGGACTTCTTGCCTGCGCTTTTTCGAAGAGATGTTGCAGTTTGCTGGAGGAAAACCACTTTAGCAATCGTAGCAAAAATAAAGCAAAAATAAACCATTTGATTTGCTGGGACACAACAGGAATGTTCTTCAAAAAAGTTGGCATTTGCATTTCAAGACATTGGTCTAGTAGGCATGTGCCTTAGGGGCCACATGACGGGTGTCATGCGACAGTCGTAGGCTATAGGTCAGCTTTTTAAACAGTGAGATATGAGTTGGAAATTTTCCTCAGAAGTAAGACAAACCTAACTTTTTTCGAGAAATTATATATCTTTGAATTGAAAAAAGCTAACCAGCATTTATGAATTTACTTGATCGAGTTACTATATTATACATTATTGAAAAGTAAGGGGGAGTAAGTAGCTTTTGAGCATGATTACTATAAATTTAAGTTCAGTCATTGAAACATTCTATGCTAAGGTTTTTTTTCGAGCAGCTAAGATGGACGAAAAGTGTTTATTCATAATGAACCCTAAATAATGTTGAGTGAAAACAAACGTGAAGATGGCTGAAAAGGATTTAGGACGATGGTTCGAATTTTCTGCAACTGTCTACCAACCATTATAATGCAAGCATCAACAGTCTCTGCAAAAAATTTGAAAGCTCTTCTGTAGCGAGTAGTTTGGAGCTCGCAAAGCGGCATGAAAGTTTGTAATGACTGAAGTTTGTTGAGCTCTAGCGCCATGTCTTCCTTCCGAGCCTATTCACTTGCGTCCAATTTAGCTCGATTTTCGCAACAACTTGCCTCTGGCCTCAAGTTTTATGATGGCGTGTAAGTAGCGACTTATTTGCGAAACCTAACTCTATTCACATTAGACCGAAATATGTTTTTGCGGCTGAAGAGCATAAAGAATAGGGAGATCATCATCCTTTTTCAATCAATTTTCATTGTCAAGTATAGTTTTGACAGCAAGATGACTCCAAATAAAGCAGAATCCACCCAAGACCGCAGCTGATACCGCAGCAGGCAAGAATGTCGGTGTCTGAGACCATTGTCTGCAACATTAAGGTTTACTGCTAGCATCTATTTTACGAATTGTACCCTTCTAGCACCATTTGATTGCATGCATACTCGATCAGACATGGCGGATGCTGCAGATACGGCCCAGCAAGATCCTAGACATTTGATTCAAAACGGCGTTGAAGTGCATTTTGGTATCTTTCCCACCACAGTTAGCTTGATCTCGAATTAGCTTGATGGAGTCGCATTGCGGCCATTTCTCTCGAGCATCAAACCTACATGAAAACATTGATAAAGAGCAGAAAACATGTGCGCATAACGAAGCACCTTTCCGGAATCTCTTCGTCGAGAACAAGCTCTTCTGCCTTTTCGGTTTGTTCTGGCTTTTTCAAAAAGCTAACAGCCATCAATCGAGATTTGAATTCTTCGTAAGTCATTTTTGGGATCTCTGCCTAGATCTGATTGTTTTCAAGCCTTCTGTACCAATTCTTCTTCCTACAGCGTATAATTGAAATAGCTATCGTATTTCACTTTACCTTGTAAAATGGTTGATTATTATTGATGTAATCCACAAACTCCTGCCCCTTTAGATCTTTAACATATTCAGGAACTGGGAGAGCTTTGAACTCTTCTGAAACATTAAGGCTTTGCTTGCTCACACTACATAGAGTGCTGGTATTCCCAGCATTCAATACTAGTTGTAACTAGCAATCAGAGCGAATGAAGTCGCAGGTTTTGGCTGCGGCAGGAAAGTATGATTGCTTATGTAATGCTGGTACTCGCCTACTGACATCTGCGAAGCTGTCGCCAAAGATGCTGCTAGCAGTGTTAGGATTATGTTCACCTGAATGAAGAAGTGGTGCAAACATTCTAGAAGGTTGAAAGTCTATGATTTCACAATTAAGTCAAACTCACCATAGCTGAATTTCCTTCCCTTCAGGCCCAGTGAACACACACATAGCGCATATCAGCTACTATTTATACGCTGTTCAAAAAAAGGTGCAAAAACTCGTTTTGCTTTATTGATAAAGAGATTATCATGCCATTTACATCAGATTACCAACTACATAAAAACATATAATTTATTTCGCCAATTGTCTAAGGCACGTTGCACAGAAATTTGAGGCTAACATGAGAGAAGCAGCACATTAGCATTTTCATTTGCTCGCTGTAACGCAAAATCCTTCGTTAAATTTCGATTTTTCAAACAGCCATTTTTCGAGGTTCTAAACAACTGGCGATTGTTCTTGACTAACATCTGTAGAAGTTTCTCTTCACAACACGGTACAGCTTTAGGCATCCATCGCAAATTGCAAGTCAAGCAGATTGCATATAGCAAATTAGCGTACAACTGCCGTGGCCTCAAGGCGAGTTAGCGAACAAAGCTTTTTATGATCAACGGTCGCTGATGGTTTGTTGCGTGCGCTAGTTAAAGCCAGCCATCCAACACCATATCTATTTGCACTCCAATATATTCAGTTTTGATCTAACCTGATCCCTACATTTACCATGGTATAACAACTCACCATTTCGTCCTGCTTCCGTAAAATCCCCTTGTTCGTGTTTAACTTCAATACCTGCCTCTGCTCCTTTGCGTTTTCGTAATTGGCATGTTAAAAGCGTCCTCTGACACTCTTTCCACTCAAAGCTATATAGTATGTCTCAAAAGTATTTATATGCTTTTTAGTATCAATATCCTTCTGGGATGTCTAATATAGTCTTCAATGTACTGCAAGCGGTGGACCCCTAGTCACAGTGCATCCCATGATTTTGCCACCTTTTTTTGAGTTACCAGTTTGAAAATGTTGAAAAAAAATCGTCCAAAAAATTTTGAGGAATCTTGTACTGCTCGAATGTAGTAGTGACTTCTTAATATCCAAAAACAGCCATTGAACAGGTATGCATTTGGAGAACGGTTGTAAATATTATCACGAAAATTAGAGTTAAACATAGCAAAGAAACTATGTAAAATTGTTTATTAACTTAAAATTATAATGTAGACAAGGCCTTGTGTTCTAAACACCGTTTTTTACCCTTTTCGAGCTTTGTAGTTTAAGAAATTCTTGAAAGCTGTATAACAAAGCAAGAGAAAATTAATTTGCTTTTCAAAGATTGTTGCAATCCGGTTATGACGTAATTTTAAATTAGCCAAGAACTTAAGCCACTGCGCTGACCTATGATAAGTAGACCTTGAGGGACGTTATGCACAGCACATCGTTTATTTAATCTTAATCAGGGCTTATTCTACTAATAATACTAGGAAAAAGACAAATACCAGAAAATAATTTCCCATCAAGTCCAATCTTGTAATTTCGCAGCAAAATAAACATTAGAGAAGTGAATGGGATGCAAATTAATCGACCAGAACAGGCTCTGCAAAATAAAGTTCAAACATTTGCACAAGGTTTGATTTGCGTGGAGTTCTTAGCCAAATTTCGAAAGGGTTTGCATGTCTGAAAGAAGGATGCTCGTTTGAAAAATCTCAACAAAAGGATAACAGATCGCAGCGGCAAACCGAAATGATGCATATCATTAGATGAGTCTTGATAAGCTGATTTTAAATGTAACTTCATATCTGCAAAGCTTCCCTCAAAAGAACTTACGAGCGTTTGAATGTCCAAATTTGGCGAGCATTCAGTGCCACGTCTTCAAGATTACCTGTGTAAAAACACAATTTATGTGTTCGGTGTATGTATGTATTACTTATAGTCAGTGAACTCAGAGCCATACCAATTAATCACTCCCAAGCTGGTGTACAATGCACATTACGCAGCAAAACCCTAATAACACCTTTGACCGCCCACAGCTTCTTCTGGAGAATGCTTATCAGATAAGAAAGGAGATTTGGAATCAGCTCCCAACATCTAATGATATGCATATCATTTCGGTTCGCCAGTGTGTCCTGGTATCCTTCCCTTGTTAGAAACCTCCCAATTTGCTTATGCACACACTTTGTACTTTACATACTCGTATGCGCAATTTCATGATTTTTATACAAGTAGAAATCAAGAAGATTTGAGTTGGCATGCTTCTGTCAAGGATATTATGATTTTATAGTAAAACCTTCGTAATTGTAATCACGATCCTTCCAGTTTTCTAGAAAAGCTAGGTTCCGAGGAAATGATCAGGGCAAAAAAAACTGAAAACCCCAACTACTCGTGTTTCGAACTATTTTTGTTTCTCAGTATATAGCTATGGAAAAAGCTGTGGAAAATTTTCGCATGCTCACCACCTAAATTTTCACTGTGAAAGCTGCTTGTGTAAATTGTAGATTCCTAGAAACTTTTGTGGGAGAATTTCGGCATTTTGAAATTCCCTATATTTTGTCTTAGCTTCTGGGTCAAAGTACAAATTTTAAGTGAACCAAAATCCGGGCGGAAGTTTGAACGCCAAATTGTAGATCATGCTTAGCTATCAAACTACAGCCCGCTCACTCTTTTTCGTTTTCATGTGATTACTCTGCCGGTAACATGAGATGCCACATTATTTTACGGACAACTTAATAATTTCGTACCTAGTCAAAAAATCAGTTATGAAAATTACCGCAGCAATCTGGGCGAAAGCAATATAGACGCAAAGTAAGCTTTTAGCAATGCTGTATCAGTTGTGTCACTGTTTTTTGTAATTCGTAAGTCTATCGAGATATTTATAATGCTGTTTGTACAGAGTTCAGATATACACCAAAAAAACTATATCCTCAAAATTTACAAATGACTGGTAGCCCTTGAAACTATGTACATCTATAGAAACACTATGTACATTTACAGTAACAATCTCCGATTTCAAGCTTTCAGTAGACCAGCAGTGACCTCCTGTTCGATGCCGCATTCGTTCCTTCCACGTAGGATTCGAAAGTGCCCTATAGAGAAAAAAAATTGCGTTAATATACTAACAATTCTAAATTACCTTTTTCACCCCAGTCGAGATTCCATGAGTTTGCTATTGTCCAGTAAGGGATTCCTTTTTCTATGCCCCATCCGATAATTTTGATAGCATGACCTCCCTCGTTCTTGCCTGCGGTATGCTAAAAAAAACACTAACCATAAGATATGCTATTTGCCCATCCTTTTCGGCCAATAAGCCAAGATCCTAGCATATAAGCATAAAGTTTTCTAACTTATTTTATGATGAAGTTTTTCTCAGGTGACTGGCTTTTCTAAGTGATAAATGTTTTTTTAATTGTTGGTTTTTAGAGCACTGCTTAAAGGCAGCGGACAGGCAAAATGGACCCCTGTCAGATTTTGGTAGTTTCGGGTAGCGGACCCCCCAAGTACACCGTAGCCTCAACCCCACATTCCAATTCATGCGCTAAGTCCTGAAAAAAGCGCTTCAAAACTCCACCAGCCCCGCCCACTTCCATTGAGTGGGCGTTATTGGTGGAAGTTTGAAGCGCTTTTTTCAGGACTTAGCGCAAGGGGCTACGGTGTAATTGGGGGGTCCACTACCCGAAACTACCAAAATCTGACAGGGGTCCATTTTGCCTGTCTACTGCCTTTAAGCATGCAAACGTGATTGTGGTGGTAAGAACGTTTATGAACAAATGAGATTTTCCCTCATGCTCAAAATACAGTGCTTCATTATTTCAATGATTGCATTATGATGAATAATGTAAGCACATTAATCTTTCTTACCACATAAATCCCGCGCTTGTAATACGCGAAATCTGAATAGACTATAAAAGCTGCTTGCATTGGTCCGTTACTCATTATTTCTTTTTGAATCGCTTGCACATTGTTGGCAACGTAATAGGCACTCTTTCCTGAAACATTACGACGGTGTTACGAATTATGGTAACCTCATTCATAGGACTTTCCATAAATTTTGTCCTTTGCGTATGCCTTGCTGTACCCCGTTTGGCACTTTGCTCTGCATGCTGGTGTATCCTCATTGGCCTTCTCACATTCTCCATAATATGTCTGATTCTCATGATGCCCACACGGATGGAATGCATATGGTTTGCAGTTGCCCTGGTATAAACACACGTATCATTTAATTCAACTGGCTTGGCTTCGGGAAGACGGGGCTTCGTGACCTAATTAAGGCTACGTAATAATCAGAGAGCACTCGCGCGAGAGAGAGACGCAGACTGCGTTGCGGGCGCTAGCGGCCTCATTTAGGTCACAAAGCCCCGCCTTCCCGAAGCAAAGCCAGTCAAATCAAAGGTTACATTCATTAACTAATTACTACTGTTCTTACCGTAGTTCCGTAAGGTCCACCAGAGCAGGCTCCAGTTGTCTTTAAGTAGTACCATGATTCAATCATATAACCACCATCACATCTATAAGATAACAGAAAGAAATTCTATTAGGTAACTATTTATTCAGGATATATCGCATAAATTAGTCGTTTTTTTTAAACTTTACAGATGCCTTCACCCTTATACATACCCGTATCCACAGTATTTGCAGCATGAAAGGATATCAGTGTCGGAAATAAAAGTCTGTAACAACGTAATCCAGCAAGTATTTGATAAATTTCATACGTCGAACCTGGTTACGTCCCTTAGTAGCAATGCATAATCTATCCGACATGGCTGACGCGGAGGAAACGGCCCAGCACGAACCTATAATAACTAGAATGAATTCGCTTATATTAGAGAACGATTAAGAACGCTACCGCAGTTTGCCTGATCGCGCACGGTTTGGATAGATTTGCAATGCGGCCACTGCTCTCGGGCGTCGAAACTTCAATTTTAAAGACTGCTAAAAAAAAGCATAAAAGAGAAAAATGATTCACCTTTCTGGAATGTCTTCATAGAAGTCTTGTCCTGCCACTCGCAGTGATTCATCAATTTTCAGATATTTTTCCTGCATCAAACGAGATTTGAACTCATAGTAGGACAGCTTAGACTCCCCGGCCTGAACGAGACAAATCCAAAAAAATTAGCGTGTTTTGATCTCGCATACTTCACTTGCTTTGAATCGCAAAACATTACTACACATTGCGAATTATATCTTATACAGAATTTTTAAAATGCATTTTTAGTGATCTAATTCTTTCTAGTTCATTACGGAGTACTCAAATGCTTTTCATATCTCTTCGTTCATTTCAGAAATATGAATCAGATAGCCTGGGTAGCTAATAGGAGTTAAGCACTCGAGGTCTAGCCTCGCCTGAATCCTCAAATATTTTTTGAGCTCTTGATTTAAAGGTTGTCTAACGCGAGGCATAATCTCTTATTGAGATTTAAGATTTTTGACTTTATGCTGCAGCGGTTGCCACCAGGTTGCCGTGAAAGTTTGGAACCTTTAATTTTGGTTTTTATTACAAGAGAGTCAATGATTTGTAGGTGTCATAGGTTATTCGAAGAAGATGCTTTTTATTGCTACCGCCTTGCAGTTAACCTAAAAAGATGCAGCTTTCTGTATTATCATTTTTGAAGTTTAAATTTGAAAGTGAGGTTTTGAAGAAATGGCCATCGTGCGCAGTACATTTGTCAAGGCTACATCTCATTCAAGGGCTGCAAAATCGGTCAAAAGAGTCAGGTCGAGTTTACTAATAGGCTGGAGTTTTGTCTTGTCTTAGAGATTTTTCTGCCAAATAGACAATCAGTTGGAGAGAACTTAACGTATTTTGAAGCAACTGTCAAAGAATACCAGGAGCTTGGACATAACGTTTAGGGACCAAGTGAATACCATACAAATTGCTGAATTTGTGGATGACAAGGTACACGTCAATATTGTCTTCGCTCTTACATTCATTTAAAATGATCCTTGGTTCAAAACATTATCCTTCACGAAGACTGGTCCATGGATGACGAGAAGCGGCTACCGAGTGGAACAAGCCATAAAAGGCCACAACCCGAAGATAATGGTGACAGACTGAGACTGATACAATATCGCAGATATTGTACGCTACAGCATTGTAAGGCATGATCGTACTGCTAGGGCACAGTGGTATGATTACGATTCGAAGATCAGGTAATTAGCAAAGTTCAGAAATTGAGAGACTTACACATGCAAGTCACTTCTGCACATTTTTTTCATTCATGTAAGTGACCTTCGAAAATTTCGCGACCTATTCTCGGGGCGGCGAGGAAGGGCATCACAAGAAGAATATAACGGCTGCATGAGACGATATAAGCATATCGAAATTTTCTGGTGGAGAAAGTTGAACTTTGTGCCTGTTCAAGCTCTAAAACTGGGACGGAAAGGCACTTAACAACTATATGAGGCTGCAAGCATATTATCAAAAAATTCGAATAAAATTCTGTGACTTTAATTTAACAATAATTTTTCAACTTTGTGTATGTCGCAATAGCATCATACCTGGTCATACAGATTTTTCAAAGCATTTAAAGTTTGAAGCCATCCAAAACTTCGCCTCCTATGTCTTTGCCATCCCAGGGTCTTTCCGTGACCCTAATTACATCATGAAGTTCAGATTGTACCGCGAAAAACCCGATTCCTGGAGCCTTTGTCTTGAGAGTGCGGACCGCTTTCAGCACATGGATGGGCCGAGCAATCTGGGCGGGGCTTGATAGCACTTTGGCTGTTTCAGGCCCATTATCTCCATTCAGAGACAACAGTAGAGGACCGGACCAACGCGCAGATGCCCCTTTTCTGAGGCCTACATCGAAGATCGGCACCAGTCGGAGGGGTTAGATTTAGCTTGGACACTGCCTTTATTCGAAATTTCGCGTTCGACCCTCAACGTCATGCATTTCGAGACCAAAGCGAGACTAGCATGTGAATTACCAGGAATAAAATCAAATTTGAATGTTTCGCGAAATATCTAATTTCTTTCTTACAAATTCAAGCTAGCCGACTGTCCCTATTGAAACACATGCACATAAGCTGTTGCATAGAACCTAATCTTTTTTCTACACGACAGATCTCTCTTAGTTGAGCTTAAAACTGAAAAAGGGATGTGTTCGTATGCTTTGGTTTTTATAATACCTCGAAAAATGGTTGATTGGCGTTGATGTAGTCAATCAACTCTTTACCAGCCAGATGCATAGCGAACTCGGGAATCGGAAGTGATTTGAACTTCTCTGAAAGTTGGAAAATATAACAGTTCTGATAGTTTTGAGGTTGACTACGAATGCAATGTGACTAGAGCACATTCTCGAACTTCTATTGAACGTCTAAGCAAAAGTGCTTTCCAAAACTACCTATAGAGATGTTCTTGAAGGCTGCGACATACGACACTATTAACAGTAATAGTAGAGCCATCTGAAAAATTTACAAGCATTTTAAATAACTATTGAAATCTACTCAAAACAACAACAAACATAGGTTCAACAAAATATTAGGCTATCTCAAAAGTTAACCCTATTTTTGAATGAATCAAAGTGCTTTTTGTTTTCCTAGCACACTTGCACTACCATTCGACGGGCGAAGCAAGCTCTACGGAATTACCATCAGAGATCTACCTAGGTCGTAATGCAGGTAAAACTTGGATCCAAAAATCAAAGATATTCAACTAGTCTAAAAACGAATCTCCTTCCGAGAATTACGAATATCCCACTTGATCATTATACAAATAACACATTATATTAGGTCGTTCCGAAAGTAATGTCGCTTTTTTCAAATGAACGCCACATTTCATGGAACCAAGATTTTCAAGAGCTCTTGGGATCAGTCGATGCAGAATTTTGTCCTCTTTCTAATGGTTGTAATCTCATTGCATAAAATTCAATGAGCTCTCAAAAATTTACTAAAACCTGCGACTTATGCTTTTTGTCATGGTCAAGTTCGGCTATTTTTCTATATTTTCGTACTGATTCCCCAAAGATGTACAAGTAGCAGATAATTAGAGCAAACCCTATAGGACACAAAACGAATTTTTTCTTTTCCTTAGTTTGCTTCTTGGAGTTTGTAGAACCAATTTTACAGTGCTATCAAATTCCATATTTGGTCAACTCAGACCTCACAGAACAACAACCGGCAAGCAACTCGGGTGTCGTTAGACGCAGCTTTTTCTCCTCTTTCTACCAGTTGTTTTTGTTTTCCGATTCACCAGTTTACCGGGATGAAATCACCATAATTCAGGTTTTCCAGGGCGCGCCAGGCTGTACCCAAAATTTCCGAAAGTTGCTAATCTGAAGCGTTAAATGCTCATATGCTTTGTAAAATTAGCGTTTAACCATAATCCACCTTTGTAAGTCTCAGAATCCGAAAGTTTATTGGTGTTTGATGCATATGTGTTTGAGACAAGCCTGCAAAAATTTGGTGACTTCATTGAAAAATCTCTACAAAGATTATGACGAGATACGGAGAGCAGAAAAAAATAGCACCGTTTCCTATAGGGTTTGCTCTATCCATCCATTACTTGGACTCCTTCCGGGAGTTATTACAAAAAATTAGAAAAATTGTGAAACTTGACCTTCCCAAAAAGCACGGGTTGGAGATTTTAGTAATTTTTCAAAAGCTCATCGAGTATTCTGCAGTGGAGGTATAGCCATTGGAAAGAGGATGAAATGCTGCATCGAATGCTACCAAGATCTCCTAGAAACCTTGCTTCCACGAAATGTAGCGTTCAATTGAAAAAAGCGACATTACTTTCGGAACGACCTAATAGTATTCAAAAACGAACTTGATGAATTTTTCCAGGGCTCAAAATTGAGAATTTGAGAAGGTCCGAAAATGCGCAAATGTCACTTTTTTCGGATTTTTAATGTCGAATTTGTCATTTCTCGATCACCTGGGCGCATGTAGAAGAATGATTTTGAGATTATACTTGCTAATGCAGTGGTGACATATGTAGGAGGGACTGAGAGCGGAGTTTGTCATTTTTGGACTATCTTTTTTCTCGCTTTCGCAGGAAGAAAGGCATATTTGAATACCCAAGCGTGTCTGATGTGTTATGGCAAAGTTTGGAATCCGGTTTTTCTTCGCAAAAATCCATCTTTGCAATGATAAATTTTTTTTTGAAATTTTTAAAATTTTACCTGAATACGACTTAGGCGGATCTTTGAAGATAATCCTGTAGAGCTTGCTTTTGTATCGTGAGATATCCTACTGCCAAGAAAATGAAAACGGTTCGATTTGTTTACGAATATGCGTTACTTTTGGGGTAATCTAACATCACAAAGATTTTTCTTGACTTCACAGCATTATGCGCATTTAATGTTAGAAAGGATCAGGTTCGGGAAAGTAAGAATTGCAAGTAGCTATACAAAGCTAAGATGTCCTCTACGTTTTCTGAGGCCTTTTATGCAAAATCGTAACGTTTTTTCATAGTGTCTAAGCACGTAATACATGGATTATCCCGTCAACGGGCTGTCGTTTTACATTGTGACTATATAAAAAGGTCTGTTGAGATCATTACCTTTTGAATAGAACATGCATGTAAAACGTGAAAACTTCAGGCATTAGACTCGGGCTTGACAAAAAATTTTAATCAGTTATTTTTTTCATCTCATAAAAAGATTGAAAAGCTATGAGTACAAAGAAAATATCACTCATTCTATGACTAGGAGGCGCGATTCATTGCACACATTCTAAACAAGCTTGATCGTGTACTAAGTGGGTTTACACATGTCATTTATCTCCTCCAGGTTTATTCAGTCGTTGAAAACAAGAAAAAGCAAACTCAAACATGTCAAAACAATGTCCGCAATGCGGTCACGTGTCTCCTAATCATAGAATAGATGATACGTCCAGAACGAGACACAGTCAGTGCCAGCGTGAATTGCCAGACTTTAAAGATGACAGATCGTTGCAATGTAGTTCAACATCCAAACGAAGCCCATCAGATCCATTGTTAAACTAAATACCGCAATTATCTTATGACTAGCTGGGGGTCCCCATCTCACCTAAAAAACTTCAAATGAGCTTGTTTAAAAAGGGTAATTGCTCCTCTTTAAAATCCTCTCCTTTCACTTTGTCTGAAATTTTTCGTGCTATGCACAAGAGCGCTTTGCGAAAATACTACATTTATTCGCATAGTTGGTTTGTACATGACTAGTGTGAAGTCACCGTATTTTTCTGAGCTTGAATTTTGGGGAACTTCAAAACTCTTTCTTATATGATCGTGAAAATATGCCTGGTCAACTCATGATAAGCTTTCATTTTCTCAAACGTAAGATAACAAGTTGAAAGTCAATAGACGCTCAACGAGTTGCCATATAAACTCGCGATGTTGCTATGGAGAAAAGACTTTCAACCTTATAAACTCACTCAAAAATTTCTAGATTAAAGTGATAGCAGACGAAATTCAGCGACTGGATGCTACGCTAACTAAACATCTTAACAAAAGGCTGCAGCACTTTAGGTTATCGCCGTCAAAAGAATTTGTATTTTCGAACTTATAGGTAGTAGAGCAGTTCTATGCCAGGTACATTGAATTGTTAAAGTGTTTCAAAATAGCTTTTCTCCTACAAAAACTTTTTGGGGCACTTACCCCCAAACATTTTACTTTTCTTACACAGTCTAAAGATACATAACTATCCCCAATCCTTTTCTTAGCTTTCCTTTCTCTTGAACTTCTTCTTAATTTCCTTTCTTACCCTCTTTCCCCAATTTCTTTTAAAGAGACAGTGATTTTTTCTTGAGATGTTTAAAGTTACACTGTGCTACTTCGAGTTCAAAGGACCTTCGTGATTGCCTAATGGCTTCATGTTTCAAAACCTTTTCACCGTTGGGAAATCAATATAGATCCACCCTACAAAGATTTTCGGATTTGCTATGTTGCTTTAATAGCCCCAGATCATAGATTAAATGTTGAATGGGCAAAAAGACTCCAAAAGCGAATGGTGTAAACTTGTAAAAGTGGTTTATCGATAAGATCTGGAATGATATCCACGAAAGTCCCCGCGAAATGGGCTTTTCGTGCGAATAAAATGGACTTAGTCCATGCGGTGCGATAAGATATCGCATTCGCGAATACATTCATTCCATACAAAAATGCTTCAACTAACCTTTCTCCAACTTGTCTCAACCTGTTTGCTCACTCTCGCAAACTCATTTCCACCAAGTGGTCGATATCTAACTAGGCTGATCTAACATTACAATGTCACACAAGTGGCTATTCTATTCTTTCCCACTTCGTTACACCTCACAGAATGCCATTCATTATCGATGACTATGCATCTAAATCACTTCCAAGACTAAAATTCATGTAATATCCGGGCCTTCGATTCAAAACTGCTACGAATCAGCATTAAATCGAATTCGTATGTGAAGATTTCTGCAAAAAGCAAATTTTGGCTGGAGTTGCACTGCAATCTGTGAACCAAGATGCTCCTTACAAAAAACCTTGTACTACACTACAACTCAAAGGTTTTTTCAAGTCGCAAAAACTTTGAATCCCAAAAGATGACTTCGCAAGGGCTCTATATTAGCTATTCTTTGTCTTTCAGCACTAATATTTATAACTTCAAGCATGTGGAGTGTAATGTATGGACTAATCTATTGAGAAATTTTTTACAGATTCTCTAGCTAGCTAGCGGCACTTCAGTAATTCTTGCGGACGAAACTCAAAATTGCATTTAAAATGCCGTTTCTGAGGTTCGGTTATACGAAATTAGCCAAAGATAGCTTCTAAGTAATCACATTGAAGTACATTTTTTTCACATTTTAGGTTACAAATCATGAGTTTGGGGTTGATGAATTGAAGAGTTAACAAACTTTATTTGATTTACATAGGAAATTTTCTGATTGACCTGATATTAAGAAGCATTTGGGTTTGTTAGCGATTATTTGGGTGAATTTAATCTTCTTCTATGTTTTTATAGCGTTTCTATGAGTTTAGAAACAAACACTTATTTCAGAGTTCATAAAAGACATGAAACTTTTTCCACTCACCTATTACCTTGGGATAGGTTGAGGAACACATTCCAAAAAATCGCAATCAAAAATATGCAAAAAGGTCAAAAATGGGCTTAGTCCCAGCTCACTTTGCTGCTGGGAGTAAAATGGGCTTTCAAGTCCGTTTAAAATGGAGGTAAATCCCATTTTGCCCCATTCTAAATGGACTTTTGACGTCATCATTTCGCAAGCGAGAGCTCAGGTAGGGTTAAATCATTTTCATTTCACCGCTTTGCCTCGTGGTTGCGATGGGATGAAATTTTTGGATAACGCGAGCGAAAGCAGATTCCGACCACTCTTCACCGCGAACGAATAAAATGGGGCTTGAAAGTCCATTTTCCTCCATTATGGACTTTCGTGGATATCATTTCTGTTTAGCCACGCTTGAAAGTAGGCTTCTAAGCTTTTGCTGTAATACACAAT